CCTTTGTGGCCTATTAATCTGCTTTGTTTTTTTTTTTTGCTTTGTGCTTGGGTAATTTTCTCCCTTTGCTTTGTGTGTTGCCTTTGTGGCCTGTTAATCTGCTTTGTGCTTTTTTGCTTTGTGCTTGGGTATTTTTCTCCCTTTGCTTTGTGTGTTGCCTTTATGGCCTATTAATCTGCTTTGTGCTTTTTGCTTTGTGCTTGAGTAATTTTCTCCTTTTGCTTTGTGTGTTGCCTTTGTGGCCTATTAACTTGCTTTGTGCTTGTTAGTAGCTTTGTGATTTTTTCCCCTTTGAACTCGATGACCGTTTGGTAGAGTTCGGTCCTTTGTGGACTCGGCATGCTTTGTGTGTTGCCTTTGTGGCCTATTAATCTGCTTTGTGCTTTTTTTTTTTGCTTTGTGCTTGGGTAATTTTCTCCCTTTGCTTTGTGTGTTGCCTTTGTGGCCTGTTAATCTGCTTTGTGCTTTTTTGCTTTGTGCTTGGGTATTTTTCTCCCTTTGCTTTGTGTGTTGCCTTTATGGCCTATTAATCTGCTTTGTGCTTTTTGCTTTGTGCTTGAGTAATTTTCTCCTTTTGCTTTGTGTGTTGCCTTTGTGGCCTATTAACTTGCTTTGTGCTTGTTAGTAGCTTTGTGATTTTTTTCCCTTTGAACTCGATGACCGTTTGGTAGAGTTCGGTCCTTTGTGGACTTGGTATGCTTGGTGATTTTACCCCGATCTTTGTGATCTGAGTTTACTTAGTGTATTCTCTTCCATTGCTTGTATCTTCTTTGTGATTATACAGGTAATAATTTGGCGATGATGAGTCCTGCAGTTCCGTGTTTTTTTTCTATGTGCACTACCTTGGGCCAAAGGTGGAGATTGTTGGTTGTTTTGTTGGCCCAATAAGTTGGCCCGTTACTCTAAATGCCCAGCTCCCCCACTTGTGCCCTAGCCCCTCTATTTTCTTCACCTACCCGATGGTTCTCACCTCCTCCTAAGTCTTCGTGATCTGATGGCCGCCGCTTGCTCCCATCCGTAGGTCGGCTCCCTCCTTCGTTTTCTTCCCTAGCTCCTCTCCCGTGTCGGCTGCCCCCTTCCCTATATATGGGTAATGGGTTGGTAGTAGCTCGGTAGAGGGATGAAGAAGAAGAAGAGATAGTGAGGTGAAGATCTGAGCTTGAGCTCTCCTCTGCTGTGTGCGATCTCCCCCCTTCTGTGAGTTTTGTGCTCCTGTGAGCTTTGTGCTCTCACCCCCTTTTCTGCGATTCTCTTTGTGAGTGACGGGTTGAAGGAGATCGGCGAGCTCTCCTTTTGGTCCTTGGTGGTGCACTGTGAAGGAAGAACAGGACTGGTTGAGCAGGTTTCTGAGCCAAACGACAACGCAGATACTCAACAACTTCATTTGCTAATAAACCTATTTAATAAGGAATTTAGGTTTCGCTACTGTTATAGTAACTCTATGATTCTAATCCTTTCAGCTACCAGAAAGCAGTAAAAAAAAAAAAATCAAATTTCTCGATCATAACCTAATCGTACCCTCTAAATATTAATAGATTGTGATTGAAAAAGTGAACTTTCTACTCTACTTTTGTAATGGAGAGGATCTACATCTGTTGCTTCATGGTCTTCATGAAAATTTGGACAGGGGAATGAAACTTAAGACAACAATTAAGCAACACAATCCATTAATTTAAATTTATGCAATTAAAACCATTTTAAGTTCATGGAATACAACTTTAACCTAATGTTTAGTCCCACAGCAGTACAAAATAGTTTTCCTTATTACAATTTTTTTTCCTTTTTGTTTCTTTAATTTGTTTGTTTGTTTGTGATTATGACCATTTAATTGTATCTACTCTACTATTATATTCCTTGTTTTGAGCAGGGAAGTACAACATTTGTTAACTTGAACATTAACTTCGAAGTTATGGTGAGAATTATAATTTTATATTCTAACATGCTCTCGCAAGTTGAATGCCCTTTCTCTTTTTATGAGCCGAAACATAGAGTCACGCAATGGTACTAATTTTTAGACAAATCTGTTTAAAATTTAGAGTATAAAAATATTGTTAGGAAGAGAAAAATATGATTTTTTGGGGTTTTATTTAGAGTATGAAAATATCCATATAATAACAAAAATGATTTTATTCCTAAATTGACTCAATTTCATCTACTTCTGAAGTACTTCGGAGCCTTGAGGGGAGGAAAAAGATTCAAGAAGTAGAGGTCATGTATGTGCCACGTCAACTTCTAAGAAAGTATTGGAAGTAGCGTTTTCAAAGAAACAAACATACTTTTCTTCTCGAAAGTAACAGAAATGACGCCTATTTCATTTACTTCACATACTTCATAGCTACTTCCATGTAAACAAACAGGCACTTAGTCCCACAGCAGTACAAAGTGTCCAACAGCTTTCCAGTTCTTCGAAGTTCGAAGCTCTATGAAACATGCATATATACTTATAAGTGAAGCACTTTTCTAACTAAGTGAATATTCAAATCAGAAGATAAAATATTTAAAGCCAGCATTCTTTAAACATAGTTCTCTAAAAGTGAAAAACTACTAATCCACAAACATTTGAACTTCACACCTCACTGCCTGCTCTTACAAACACATTTACCAGATTTCGACGACAGAAACACAAGAGCATAAGCTTCCATATCCATGCAAATTCATGAAATATTCATTGCATTCTCTTTAAGTGTACTATATACAATACAGACAAAGCCATATGAAACATCTCAGCCCATATGTATCAAGATCAAGATCTTGCATGGTAAGCCATCCTCATAGTCCATGATTATTCATCAATCTTACCCCTTGATGCACACCCCCCTGACAAAGATCATCCGAAGTAACAACGCTTTCGAAGCCATTTAACGCTTTTTGAAACCGATGATTAAAAGAACTAGATATTGTCATTTTACCGTCAGATGAATTGAATATTTCCAATTGGCATTTCTCTGTCAAGGGGTTTTTTTTGTGTATTTTCCCCCGTTGACTAGAATTACCCTACTGAAAGTAATGGAAAGGCAAAGCAGGTGAAAGTATAGAATTAAATTGGTATAAATTCGGATTGATTTATAAAACAATAACAACAAAAGAAACATTTTATCCAAATTATTTGGAGAAAACGCATGTGTAAGTGTAAATTTGAATATCATAGTTGTTAATATGGTAAGTTAACACCCCCCCCCCCCCCAAAAAAAAAAAAAAAAAAAAAAGATACTATACACTGTAAGCATCATATATATAGTATGATCCCCTACAAGTACAAAACATATATGACTTCTATGCTAATATCAAAAGGTCCAAATATCTTGTGATTCACCTCTTATATCATATAGGATATCTCACATTATGTACCAAGCTAGAAGTTAAATTTTGGTATTTAAATTGGGTTTCGGGTTATTTCTTTGACCTGATTCAGTCTGTATCCTTCAGGCTGGCTATGCAAACACGATGTGTTTCAGTTTGTGAATTTTTAGGATATTTTATACACCACATTAATTTTAATAACTATTGTACATACATGGTAAACATAAAATTTACCATCAAATGATCAATGTATACCAGCGTGCTCTGAATCTTAACAGAAAGATATGGATACTAACGCCTCGTTTGGTACGCGGGAATGAGGCGTAAATGACTTGTACAATGGAAAGCGGACTGTTACCGTATCCCGTGCCTCATAACTGGTCGACGACTGAAAAGAAAACATCCACCGAGACTTGTGGTTTTCTAGCTTCTGCTTGTTTTATCTTCAACAGCAACGAAATTTAGAGCCTTCAAACCTATCACCTCACAGTTAGCTACAACTTGAAAAATTGGAGGAAAATATCAGTCTAAAGATTAATCTGTATGGGTTCAAAGCAACAACGTAGAGGATGAAAACAAAGGACAATATTGTAGGGTATGAAAAGAGTAGCAATCCAAGGAGATCCTAACTGCAGTTTATTTTCTAAAGTTTCACTTTTACCGCAACACTAGATATTTCTAGTAGCTAGATGGACATATATCCTATTATTCACAAAACATTAAAGAAAAAGCCATAGAAATCCCTTATAACCAAAGGAAACTCCTAGACCCACACGCCCGTTAGCTTGTTGCAAGCTGCGAGACCCATTGACTGTAGCACGTTGCTTAGCTCGAACTACTGTCAAAATCAACTAGCCGATATATTACCCTTGAATCTTGAGCTTACATATTTAAGCCACACAAAATTTTCACACTTTCCCAATGTGGGACTACATCACTTGGGGGTCTCACACAAGGTATTCGACAGCTTTCTGGTTCTTCAAAGTTCAAATCTCTATGAACCACTCGTATAACGACAAGCACATCTCGAACTATATCCAAACAGAAGGTAATTAATATTTAAAACAAAACATTTCTATAAACATGGATCGCTTATTAGTGTCAAACAACTAATGTCACAAAATTTAAATTCCATACCCCATACCTGCTCTTACAACTAAATTTACCAAAAATTTATCCCAAAAACACAAGAGGCATAACTAACCATGTCCGTGCAAAGTCAAGAAAGAACCATTCGGTACAATCTCTAAAGTTACTATATACAAGACAGATAAAGTCATATAAAACATCTCAGACCATAAATATCAACGAGCATAATACGCAATAGTAAACCATTCTGACACTCTACTTAGCGTAATCATTTATCTATTATTCCTCCAGCAATCTTACACCTTGATACATTTCACCCTGACGAAGGTCGTCCAAAGTTACAACACTTCTAAAGCCATTTAACTCTCTCAGACTGATCCAATTATTACGGCTAAGAAAATCTCGGAAGTCTTCTCCAGTGTAGAATGTCTTATCTTCAGTACTAACCGCATTGTCAACATATGTGCAAACTTTTATTGTTACTCCTGGCAAAAATCATATATTGTCAATATAGAATCAGACTAATGATAGTATAAAAAGTAGATATCATTATTTTACCATCATCAAGGTGAAGTGAATATGTCCCAATTGGCATTTCCCTGTCAAGGCATCGAACAACCTCATCTTCATCCTCCAGCCAAAATGCCCGCTGAGTTCTCAACCCGAAAGCAGATTTAATGGCCTCCTTAATTGCCTCTGCAGTCCCATCCACACCTATTTTTTTGGTGTATTCTCCCCATTTGACTAGAAGTACCCTTCCACCATATGGGGCTTGATTCTCCCCACCTGAAGTTACGAAAAGGCATCAACACTACATGACAATGTATTAAATTGGAACAAATTTGGACTGAGTTATTAACAAAAACAACAAAAGAGAACATTTCTCCGAATTATTTGGAGTAAACACGTGTAAGTGTGAAGCGGAGATATCAAAGTTGTTTTTTCTTAACAGGGAAAAAAATCATAGTTGTTGATATGGTATACAATGAGCATCATATAGTATGATCCCGTACAAATAGAAAAAAACATATGACTTGTATGGTAATATCAAAAGGTCCAAATATCATATGATTCACCTCTTATATCATAGAGCATATGACACGATCTTCACCTAGCTACAAGTTAACTTAGTATTTAAGTTGGATTTTGAGTTTTTTTGGTTCTGGGCTCCAGCATATCCTGCAGCTATGCAAACTTGATTAGTTTAGAAGTTTATACACAATCGCCTTGGAAGGAAGCAATTGATCTTCAGGATATGATTACAATGGATATATTGGTGAGTGATTGTGATTAGTGCTAATTGCCTATTTTCTTGTTCCTGGCATAAAAACTTATAAACCTCAAGATACGTACACAGTTACAGCATAATGGGTCTACGAAAATAGTTCATCATAGCTGGTTTGATCCTCTTACAGTACAAAGAAAAACTCTTAATATGCCACTTAAGAATGTGATCCTCAGACCTATAAAGTATGTTTACCTATTTGCTACAGATACATGAGTTTTACATGATCAATTGGCCTACAATTGAGGCAATAAGGCGTGACCATCCAGTCATTAGAACATAATTTGCCTAGTTTGGTCGATAACCCAACAACATTATTCTATTATAATCAACCGTATTCTATTATAATGGCTGCTAGTAAACTGCAATGGGCAAGCCTCCCAGTGTTTATGTAAGTGATCAGTTGCAAAGCCTGCTCCCAGGAGAATTGCCACCAGTGCAAAGGAAGAAAAGACGTAAAGAAATGCATAACTTGTAGCTTGTGAAACATCCACATGGTAGTTAGTGAATGATACTTGAGTTGATGCATGGCCAGTATAGTTCCATTTCAAAAAACTACATTGAACTTGAATATGAAATACATTTAAGGTACCTTACCTGTCTCGTACACCGACGAAATGTACCAAAAATAATAATAATAAAATGGAGGAGTCAAAGAAGAAATCTACTACGAATGCAAATAAAAAGAAAAACGAAAAATAGCTGGACCTTAGCATTTTCTGCTCCAACAAAGAGGTATGCATGATATTGTATACATCGAGCATTATTCTAAGGTACCGCAAATGTATCAACTTTGGTGAAAGCAATATAGTTGAACCATACTTATATCACTTTCACTGCAGTTGATTCCTTTGTACAAACCTCCTTTTAAAATAATGCATTAGGGGAAAAGAGAATTCTGTTTGTTCAGATGCACAGGAAGCCCCTGCATACGTCGTTGTTGGAGAGCCAAGTGTCAAGGTTTAGCTATGTTTTTTGTTCTTTTTATTGGCATTCATAGCAGCGTTCTTTTTTGCCTCCTTGTTTGTTCTTGCTTTCCTCGGTGTGCGAGGCCATGGGTATGTCTTACACACTATAAGAACTACCTGACTAAATGACAAATGATATTTGATGTCAGATTAGAGCTAATTAAAAAGTATTTCTAATTCAAATTCAATGAGTTTTCTTATATAAATTACACTAGCCATTTAGCAACTCAAATATCATTCACCATCACATGGATGTAAAGAAGTGGGAAATTCCAGACAAGATCACCCTGTGCATCTATTTCTGCTTGTATGTATCAAATTGACATTCTGATATGTATGATGATTGACATAAAAAGTTGCCACGAAGGAGGAGTTAACATAAACCAATTACATTATTTGTCATATTCACAGAATAGCAAAATACTAAAGCTATCGCGTGCCTGTTGACTTGCACGCGGACGCTTGTGGGAGTTTTGGGGATAACTAATAAGCCATGTTACCTGTGTACTTCTACTTGGAAGCCATACCCATACCGGACACGTACCGTACCCGTACCCCGACCCAAACTTCCTGAACACTTTAGAATATATGCACACGTTTGTTCAAGCGTATACTCAAGTATATACCACATGCTTTAATTTAAAACACTCAAACACTTCTTAGATGTACATTCTACACTTCACACCTATTTCTAATATATTGATTTCATGTAAATGAAAAAATAATATTGATCCTATGTAAATTATTAATTTTAATACACACAAACAACATACATATTTATAGCCGTGTCCTCATACCCTACTTTTTACAAATTTGCCGTGTCCCGTACCCGTACCAGCACCCGTACCCGTACCCATGCAACTTAGCTAATAAGTCTAGGTGTTAAATGCTTACATTGCACAGTAGACCTACTGAGCAACACAAACTTTTCAACTCGTGCACAAATGATCCAAGTATAATCTTCAAATAAAACTTTCAAGGATAGTGATATAAGTATATTTCAGTATGCAAATATCTCACCATTTGTAGGTGTATCTCTCCAATTCCATGGAGGAACACCGCTGGCTGTTGCATCAACACTTGTTATGGCTAGAGGATGTCCCTCATGATCCAAGCGCCTTTCTAAATTCAGTGGTGACCTACCAGTACCTGGATAATTAGAGAACTAGTGTCAAAAAATTTTGAAGTACGAACACTACCATATGGTTCATTAACAATAAAGAAATAGAAACAACACCTCCAATTAGCATTTAAAGATGTAATAGCATAGAAAAACAAAGCAATATTGGCAAGTGCCTGGTCTGAATGAAATATAATCATGGAACCAACATAGATGCCATCAAATATTTTATTCACTCAATCAACTCGTAACTTTCTACATTGTAATATTGGAACATGCACAATAATTACAACATGGTCCAATCAGAAATAAATAAGTGATGATGGAAATAAGAATCTGAATACTAGTGAAGTACATGTTTTGTACTTCACACAGAAATTGGTCCTGTATTTGCACCATCGATACAGAAAGACAAAAATGTTAATTTGATATGGACACAAGACTAATTTGCATGTGACATCTTATTACATAAAAGACCATTTTTCTCACCTATCTGAGTCTAATTTTCATGAAAACACCCTTAGTCACTCTAAAATTTTAGACCTTCATTTATAAGCAGGAGGAACAATTATCACTACATAATGCATATACACTACTATGGTATAATTACATATACAGATTTTTACCCCTTAGCATTGCTCCAAAATTGACATTGTACTAATCCTATATCACTAATAGCTATCATTTCATGTGCAGGCCACCAACCAATTCATTCATGTTCAGTTTTGCACTATATAACTTTAAAGCAAAAGAATCCACGGCTCCTGGCCCCTAATCATTGTAATCAAGCATTGATCAGTGTTGGTCAATAATTGAATCATTATGATCTTTAATGGATCCTCAAATGCATCGATTTGGTGAAAACTCTACAGATGGAATCAATTTTAGGCAACAAATGAAGTTTCTTCTACAAATGTTAAACAAAATAGCTACATTCTACCAACCAAGAATTGGAGCAAATAATAAACTATGAACTATCATAGTTTCAATTATCTGACACAAACTCAGTTTTTTTCCTGTTCTTGTGATCCTCAATCCTATATTGAAGTTCTTTATGAGGTCATGATACAGGACAAAATAGTTTTTATATGTTTGCAGTCAACAGGTAGGATTAGGAGTTTAATCTTAGTTAGGGTAAGATAATTTAACTCCTTCAAAATTATTTGATTATGATGGAAGATTACTATGTCATCTCCAGTTAACACACATATCTCTTAATTCAAGAGGTAAGCCCATTCACGACAGCTGTACATTGATGAGCTTAGATGTAGGTCTACACCACAACTAAATATTAACTTTGTCTCATTAGCACCATCATACATGTTCTCAGAAAACTTTATAGCCCCTCCCATGCATCATTTTCATAGTTCTATATTCAAACATGTATTTCTTTCCTTACATATCTTTTATGCACGTGTTTCTCCCTAATTCCTAATTCCAAAAGCCTGCAAGGTACATGTTATGTCTGTTAGCCTCTAAGGTTTCTTCCTTTCTCCGCCAGTTCCTTCAAAATTATTCTATTATGACAGAAATTTACTATGTCATCTCCAGTTAACACAAACGTCTCTTACTGCAGGAGATTATGACAGTTGTACATTGGTGAGCATAGAATTGATAATGATGTAGGTTACACAACTCAATTTTAACTTATTAGCACCATCTTACCAGAAATTTTATAGTTCCATCCTTGCATCATTTTTCATACTTCATACATTTAAACAGATATTGCTAAGCTTAGATTATAATAAGGAGATAGATATTGTTAGGAATTAGGGACAAACACGTTCATAATGTGTGTGTGTACAAGGAATATGGATATGCTTGGTAGTGAGGTGGCTCACTCCCATCCACTCACTTAAAGGGGGGACCACATTCACATGGGTGCACATGGGTTGAATAATTAGGAGTAGTGGATGAGAATGTGTCACCCCATTACCAAGCATCAAGTTTGTGCTTAGTACCAAGCATATCCATTCTCTCTCTCTCTCTCTCTCTCTCTCTCTCTCTCTCACACACACACACACACACACACCAAGCATATCCATTTTCTCTCACACCCACACCCACACCCACACACCAAGCATATCCATTTTCTCTTTCTCACACACACACCCACCCACCCACCAAGCATATCCATGTTCTCTCTCTCTCTCTCTCACACACACACACACCCCAAGCATATCCATTTTCTCTCACACACACGTACACGCGCGCACACACACGCGCACACACACACGCCTACGCACCCCCGCACACACACACACACACATGTATGCATGTATGTATAATGCGCGCGCGCACACACACATGTATGCATGTATGTATAATGAGCATGTTTCTCCCTAATTCCGAATGATATCTATCTCTTTATTATAATCTAAGCTTTCTCCATATAAGACCATATAAAGACTTCTCCTCTGTATTTTAAATCAATTGAGTTGGCAAGTAAAGAAATATCTATTTATATGGGAAAATAGATCTCAAATTCCTTTATAGATCTGCCAAAAAAGTCTCTTAACATTACAGCATCTCCTATAAATTATTAATAAGAACATAAGTTCCTAGAAATTATACAACTAATTAATTCTCAAACTCATTACAACAATAAACCAAACAAAAGTATTTGTATATTCTTACCGGCCAAAAGAATTGAAATTATATGAAATGAGTAGATAAATAAGTCTAATACAGCAACGGAGAACAGAGAGAAGAAAGATATGAAGTACCTTCTACAGCAGTATATGGAATACCAGCATCTTCTAACCCTAAATCAGCATGAATAAATTAGAATTGTCATGAATAGGAAAAGTATGTTGCAAAAGTAAATAAATAACTTGAACAATTTGTACAGTCAATCCATTTCAGATGATCATAAAGAGTCATATACTCAACTCCGTAAGAATTAGGTAGACAAATAAAAAAACCATGATCAAAGAAAGCAGCAAAAAGAGTTAGAATAAACTATAGCCAGCAAAGGAGGTGGAAGTCGTCGGACAGCAGATAAATATTAATGGTAAAAGAATGTCAGTGCTACAAGGTTTCCACAATCTATTTCACTTATTAATCCTGAGTTTAAATATTTATCTAGATAAAAAACAGGCCAGAGGTAGCAAAAGCATGATTAAAAAACCTAGCAAGAAGACTTACAATAATTACAAATGAGGTGGCGGTGTGGAGTACCAAATAAATAATGATGGTAAAAAATGAACTTCAAAAACCCAATCAAGTGGCAACATAAGACTCCCACAAAAGGCTCTTTCCACATTTTTAGCTTCATTAAATAATAAATTTTACAGCATACAAAGTACACTAAACTAAAAATATAGTGAAACATTACCGAGACAACTGAGGATCAAAGAGAAGTATAAAATGTTTGCGTTATCTTATGAAAGCTCATAATTTAAATGTTTTACGGCCTGTGAAAATATTGGAAGTATGTATAAACTTGACATATAATGGAGCAATAAAATGTCATAGGAATGAACTGTAGCAATGTTGGCCAAGCAGATAAAGTTAAAGGGTTTTAAAATTTGTTACTGAGGTTGCTGAAGGATAGTATAATAGGGAACTTAAGTGTCATCTTATCAGATATGGAAAAAAGAAATAAACAGCAGTAAAAATAAAGATTGGATTTCTACTATCCAACAAAATGTATGTCTCCACAATCAGATAATATTAGACTATTAGGATTCATCAGATATTTGTACTAAACGCTTGCTTCCAACTCAACTTTCATGGTGAAGAAAATAAATGTCAATCCTAAAAACAGCTAGTGATAGGTAATCTCACCTATTGCATTACCAACAAATGAAGAATTATTAGCAAGACATTGGACAATACAACCATCGCGGCAAAGATATGCACATTAAGGATCTAACATGTCCTATGCAAATGAAAAATGGGAAAACTGCAAATTCTTCTTAATGACTACAGCATTTGATCATTTATCCATTAAGTATTTTCTGTCTCAAGAAGAATAGACGCAGGGAAACTTTTATCCACCAGTTCTGCCGTCAGATCATCTTGTACTCCTGCTAATTCATTAAAGTCACGCATCCATAACTTAACAGATGGTAAGCAAGAGGACATAAATGCCAGCTATTCCGATCTCCCACCACCAGACATACTCTCATATCAGCTCCAACTTCTCTTAGTGTGATTACTAGAGCAACCACTGACAATTTTCTTTGGCATTCTAGGATATCCTGATGTAAACCTATTATCATCTCAAAATTTTAAATTTAGAACTATTCACTAACCCCATGCCTTGTGAGTTGAAAGAAATAGTTATCTCCTTGGCAAGAACTTACACTAGTATCCTACAATTCTTGCTCTTTACCTACGATTTAGCCCTCTATTGTTTGCATCTTTACGCATCTCAATAAACTTGCTTTATTTCCCTCTTCGCAATCAGGCATTTCAACTCTCGATATTGCAAAATCCACCAAATGAAATTTCCTAATACAAGCACAAACCATTCGTATAATATTTTGCTCATTTGTTTCTGTGTTGCTGACCTAATTCTTTCAAACTAAATCTTAAGTTATCAAGAACCAATTTCACAAGCATAATCTCTCAATACAAAAGTAACATAAGGGAAAATCAAACAGCAAGATTCTACCTTTATCAGCAAACTGCATAAAAGAATCAACCTTGGCTGCTGCCGGGCTCTTATAAGTTGCATTCTTATTCCTCTCCTTCAACAACTCATCAAGCTCCTTGTAATATGACATCTTGGCTGACCCACTCCCTTTACACTGATGCTTCGCCTTCTTGAACTCCTTCAACAAATTCCTCCACTTATCAGTGCACATTGTCGGCGATCTATCAAACCCTTTATCTCTCATCTTCGCCGAGATCTGCTCCCACAAATGCTTATTCGATTTCGAAGTATTAAACAACCCGTCCATTTCTCTCCTCAAACCAATCAAGCTTCTAGTTTCCTCTTGAACCCAAGTCTCTGCTCTCTTCTTGGGAGCTTTAATCTCAGGATCCTCACCGCTGCTCTCGGCAAGAATCATCGGATGCTGGCCATTGCCAACGACTTCGATCATCATATCTCTGCCTTCTTCCTCTTCTTTGTAGAAATCTAAAGGCCGTGGCTTTTCAGATAAGTACATAGCCTTGCTAGCTTCAAGGAGATGATTTGGGTTTTGATCCTCCTCTCTTCTCTTTAGGAGAGACGAGGAAAAGAGCTGGTCTATGGCGAGAAAAAGTGACATTTAGAGGAAAAAAGGACATGGGTTTTGGAGAGGACATAAAGGGGAATAATACCCATGCCTTGGATTTTAGAGAGAGAAAGAGTGAGTTTTGGAGGGTTAAAGGGATTTGTGGGTCGAATAGGGAGAGAGAGGAGTAAAACCCATGACTTGGATTTTGAGGAGAGAGATTGTGATTGTCTTGATGAGTGAAGAGAATTCTCAGAGACAGAGAAAGAGAGAGAGAGAGAGAGAGGGAGGGGATTTTGGGAGAGAGAAGGGGGAAATTTTGGGAGCAAAAGAGGAGTGGGGACGAGAAGAGGAGAGGAAGACTGAAGAAAGGTCAGAGCTTGGAGTTTGATTTTATGGTGTGTTTGGGAACTTACAGCTTGTTTGGATTGAGGGGAATAACACAGAAAAAAAAAGAAGTTAGGAAAATCATTCATCTTGTTTGGGAACACTTAGGAGATGAAGTTATTCACCTTAGTTCCCCTTAGTTCACCCCTTAATAATATAAAATTTGTTATCCTCCAAATTGAGGTGTAACCAAGAGGAAGACAACTCTCTTATCTTCCCTTCTCTTCTCTCACCTAGCTTCCCTTAACTTCCCTTGACCCCATTAAAATCCAAACACGTCCTTAGGGAAGGGAAGGAAAAGGGAAAATTCTTCTTCCTTCCCTTCCCCTTCATTACACCCTAATTTGGGGTGTAAGAATTTTGGTCAAATTTCCCCTTAATTCTCCTCCTCTACCCTCCTAAATAAAACTCTCAAACAATGTTAAAATGAAATTTCTCCTCCTTTCCCCCTCTTTACCCTCCATCCAAATAGGCCATTAGGAAAAATTGGCAATTTGTGAAAAGTTATGCACCCCTATTTCCAATTTTAGAGTTAACCCCTTGTAAGCTGTTTGACCCAAGTTTTCATGCTAAACCACTCCTAACACAACATTGTATATGTACTTTATACTTTATTTTTAAGTGTTACCCACTTTAGTCTTTTGTACCCATTTGTGGAGAGTCTAAACTATTTTGTCTTATTGGGTAGCCCTCATTCTATTATACAGTGGGAAGTGACATCCAATTGAGTTCAAGAGAATTGGGGAGAATGACATTAATGGCTGATAGAGCTTTTTGGAGGGAAATGAAAAACTGGAGGGCAACATACTAAGTTCTCTCCAAATAATGTCTCATCTCAATGTAATATATTCTTCCCTCTTTAGATTCTACTCATAATGCCTTCAACAACCAAAATATTCTTAACTTTTTACCCTTATCTTCTTCGACAACCAAAATGGAAGAGTCTTTAATATGTGTGATTTTGTTTAACTCAAATGCAACCCTCATTAAAGTCAATTCTACAACAAGTTTAGTTGAATTGAAGATGCAAGCTGCAAAAAATTTAAGAATACCGTATGAAAGTTTGTTGATAAGTTACCCTCTCGAGAAGTTTCCCAATGTCTCATTTGAGCTTTCAAAAGATGAAGATATTCTCAACATGATAGATTATCAAGAAGTTTCCCAATGTCTCATTTGAGCTTTCAAAAGATGAAGATATTCTCAACATGATAGATTATCATCGTTCAATGGGGTTAAATCAAAAGATGAAGATATTCTCAACATGATAGATTATCATCGTTCAATGGGGTTAAATACGATAACCATGACTGTTACTAAAAGAGAAGAAGGATCCACGCATGCCATAGGGACAGAAACAGAGCTTAAATAAGTATTCAAAAGATTATTTTTAGGTTCTTGATACACGTTATAATGGGAACTGTGATATTTACGTCTTATATGTGACCTGAAGACATTTCATGTGACATATCGACTTTATTTGTGACATATACTAGTTAATAGTTATTTGTAATTATCACACGTGACTTATATGTATGTTATATTCAACTTGCAATCTTCTTAATGTAAGCTCACAGTAATCGGAGCATATCGAGGAGCTTTATGAGAGGATCTCAATCGAGGAATCAGAGACGATCCCAAATGACAATCCTTAAGGAGAGCATGTGTGGATGATGAACGACGTAGTAAGTGACTCGTCACAGATCCCAACACGGTGGCACGAGGTAATTACTGAAAAAGGACAGCAATTTGAAAAGTGCAAAAGAAGTTAGAATGGCTCTTATATACTACTCTATAGCTAAAAATTCACTTTTAAATATGTTAACAATGAGCCAAAACGTATTTGTGCTAGTTGCATGTCCAAAAAGGAAACAAAATGCTTGTGGTTGCTTTTCCCTTCACTATTGAGCCATGTGTCAACCTTTGTTATAAAAAAATTGTTTCTCAACATACTTGTGGACAATATAACAGCTTAGCTGGTCACTCCAGAGCATCAAGAAGGTGGGATTGTAAGTATGCTATAATTAATTATGAATAGCCGTCCATATATCATCCCAACTGACATTAGAAAGAAATTGCACTCTCAATATGGTTTAAAAGTTAATTATTCTAAAGCTTGGCGTGCTAAGGAGACAGCAAAAGACCAAATATTTGGTTGCACAAGGCATTCATATGATTTACTATCATGGTTAGTCCGTTAATTTGTTGATGTCTCCTTTAGAACGTATATGTATCATAATTAATCGTAAATATGACATGTCAGAATGCTATGTGACAAATAAGCATAGCATGTGATGTGAACGTGGGCCACCACGTTCTTAATGAGAACGTGTGTAGAGGAGTGGGGCCAACCCACGTGAAGTGAGTGTGTTGTGATGCAAACCGCGTGAAGAAAATAAAAGGCCCACCCGACTTTCTCTCATAGCTATATATAGCTACGAATTTCTAGGTTTCGGAAGTGGGAAAAGGGGGTTTTGTTTTTTTTCTTTGTGCGGCTACGGAACAGAAGCAAAGATGGAGATTTGCTTTGCGGCTGCAGAGAAAAAGGCGGACGCAGAGGACTGGATTTTGTGAAGTTTTGCGGCCGGCTGTGTTCAAGTCTTTTGTGCGGTTGCAGAGAGAAAAGTGCAGTCTTTTTGTGTTCTTTTGAGAGAGATTTTGTGTGAGGGGTCTGAGAGTTAGTTTTAGGGTTTAGTTTGTGAAATTGTAAACCCTAGTTGTATCTCTCCCTCTAATAGTAGATCTCCCCCTCCTTGCCCCGTGGACGTAGGCTATTTGCCGAACTACGTAAATGTTGTGTTCTTGTCATGATTTGTAATAGCTTGTAGGATCCCTCGACAGGTCAGTCCTAGAACTGATGAAAGGAAGAGCCGATATCTCACTTTGTTGAGATATCCGTTTCAGATTCTTGTTTCCTTGGTGAGACAGGAATTCTTACGATCTAATCTCTTATTGTGCACCTTGCGCATCGGAGGTGCTGTCGAAATTTCCGCTGCGCACAACAAGTGGTATCAGAGCTCCGGGTTGGATTTGGGGCTTGTTCGAAGGATTCTCTAAAGAATTCCTATCTGAAGAATTAGATCGACAACATGGGAGAAACAAGCACATCGGGATCGACTCTTTCAAAGGCGATACAGAGTCTGAGCATAAATAATACAAAAATTGATGTTCCAAAGTTCGACGGTAAGATCAATTTCGGTTTGTGGAGGTGTCAGGTGATGGACGTCTTGGATGCACAAAATTTGGAGGAGACTCTTGAGTTACAAGAGAAACCCACTGATATGGAGGACAAGGTTTGGAAGAAAATGAATAGTAGGGCTTGTGGAGTTATTCGGTCATGCTTGACGCTGGATCTTATTTATGACGTAATGAATGAGACGTCGGCAAAAAGAATGTGGGAAACACTCAATGAGAAGTATCTGACGAAGAGCATTGAGAATCGGCTTCACTTGAAAAAGAGGTTTTACCAATTCAAGATGAAGAGGGGAGTTTCCATTCGGGAGCATGTTAACAACTTCACGAAGCTAATTTCGGATATGGCCAATGTAGATATCATGGTTGAGGATGAAGACAAGGCGATGCTACTATTGTGTTCGTTGCCGGAGGATGATTTTGGAACGTTTGTTCTCACTATGATAAATGGAAGAACTACGGTTAGCTATAAGGAGGTGACCTCAGCTTTGGTGAATTATGAGTTGAGGAAGAGTGATGGCGAACCCTCCGAGAAGGCATCAGGAGATGCATTAGCAGTTCGAGGCCGTGGTCCAAACCGTCGTCCAGGTGATCGCTCAAGATCAAAGTCAAGAGGTGGCCATAGAAATATGATAGGAATCAATGTCGCTTTTGCAAAGAAGAAGGACATTGGAAGAACGACTGCCCAAAGTTAAAAGATAAAGCCGGGAAGAATAAAGGGAAAGCTGTACAAGCTTCGGAAGTGAATGTTGTCAAGGCTAGTGATGACAATTCAGATACAGATTCTTTAGGCTATTCCTGCTCTGCACTACCGTCAGTTTGTTATGCTGACTCTATGGAGTGGATGATGGATTCTGGTGCTACATATCATATTTGCCCTAGGAGGGATTGGTTCTCTAGCTTTGAGGAGTTAGAAAGAGGGGATGTTGTGCTCATGGGTAATGATCACGTATGCCCTATTGGTGGTATTGGTACGGTACGGATCCGGATGTATGACGGGGTGACTCGGGAGCTGAAGGAAGTGAGATTCGTTCCTCATTTGACGAAGAATATCATTTCGCTTGGAACTTTGGAGGCAGCTGGCTATAAGGTGATCTTGAAGAATGCGACTCTGAAGGTCACAAAGGGGTCAATGGTGATGATGCGAGGTGTCAGGGAAAATAACCTTTACTACTTGAAGGGCAAGACAGTAACAGGAGGTCTGGCAGCTTCGATTACCACAGAGGAAGATACTACCAGCTTATGGCATATGAGATTGGGACACACTGGTGATAAGTCCCTGCAGGTATTGGCGAAGTAGGGGCTATTGAAGGGTGCAAAGACCTGCAAGATGGAGCTGTGTGAACATTGCATACTTGGGAAGAAGACAAGAGTGAAATTCGGCACCGCTATTCACAATACCCAAGGTATATTGGACTATATTCACACAGATGTTTGGGGCCCTTCCAAGCACACATCACTTGGTGGGGCCAACTATTTTGTCACTTTCATTGATGACTATTCCAGGAGGAATTGGGTATACCCGATGAAGCATAAACATCAGGTCCTGGATATTTTTTGTGGAGTGGAAGAAGAAAGTGGAGCTGCAAACAGGTAGAAAGGTAAAAACTCTTCGTTCGGACAATGGAGGAGAGTATAAGAGTGATCCGTTTTTACAGTTTTGCTGGGATCACGGCATTAGACGACACTTCACAGTACGTGAGACACTGCAACAGAACGGGGTGGCTGAAAGGTTGAACCGTACCTTGCTGGAGAAGGTGCTATGTATGATGACACA